CCTTTGGAAAAGTCCTCACTAAGGTACGTAGAGAGGGATGTTGGCCGGAAGCAAACGTTTAGATTTAGATTTGTCTGCAGCTGGACCCCTGGCGCCTCCGCTGCCGCGGGAAGCCAGCCACCTCTCCCCGGCTTCGCGCGCACCGCGACTCTGCAAAGCCGGGTTTGTGTCTCTGCTCTCCCAGCCTTTTTTACTTCTCATTGGAAAACAAAAATCTATATCCCAGGGTCCTTCCCATCCGATCCTTTCGTACTTTTTTCATATTTTAAAGCCTGAAACCAAAAACCAGTGTACACTTTCGCTGCCCGCCTGCTGGAACCTGACGCCCAGACCCAACCAAGGCCCAATTTGTGCGCCCCGGCCGCTGACATTTGGATTTTGGGTTCTGGGCCCGGGATGAATCTAGGGTGAGGGACCAGGGGTCAAATACAGAGGTTTCCGTACCTGTATGCGTCCTTTTGTGGATCTTTAAGTTCTCGGAACGCGCGAACACCTTGCCGCAGCCAGGGAAGGGGCAGGGGAAGGGCTTCTCTCCCGTGTGCACGCGGATGTGGTTGACCAGTTTGTATTTGGCTTTGAAGGGCTTGCCCTCGCGCGGACACTCCTCCCAGAAGCAGATGTGGTTACTCTGCTCAGGTCCGCCGACGTGCTCCACGGTGACGTGCGTGACCAGCTCATGCATGGTGCTGAAAGTTTTGTTGCACGACTTCTTGGGGTTGGCCAGCTGCTCGGGCTCGATCCACTTGCAGATAAGCTCCTGCTTGATGGGTTGGCGCATGTAGCGGAAGAAGGCTCCGGCGCCGTGATGCGCGGCCATGTTCACGTTCATGGGCCCGTAGCCGTGAAGTTGCGGCGCGGCATAGTGCTCCGAACGCGGGCTTGTCACCTGGCCGTACTGTTCGGGCCGCGGGTACATGTCCCCGGAGAAGCCAAGCCTCATCTGCCCGTTGACCACGTTGGGCGACGCGTGGCCCGCCGCCTGCTCGTGAAGGCCAGGGAAGAGGAGGTGGCCCGCAGCGTCCGTGTGACCGTGTGGGCCCCCGAAACCCCCGGCCGAAGCAGCGAACAGGCTGTGCTGAGCGCTGGCCGCTGCCGCCGCGTCGCCAAAGCCCCGGTTGCGGAACAGAAAGTCCCGCGTGGAGTTGAAGGCTGCGCTCGAATAGGAGCCGACGTGGCCCGGGTGGTGGTGATGGCCAAGGGCCGCGGCAGCCGCGTAGCCGGGCGCCTGCGACGTGAAGGCCGTCTGGCCTGCGGAGGCCAGCTCGTGCGAGCTGGGGTTGAGCTTGAAGGCTCCCATGCCGTCGGCGAACGGGTTGATGCCCAGGCCAACGTCGCGCTCGGACACGTCGCCCGCGGAGTGGTGGCGGGACGCGCCAAAGGTGGTCACGCCGATCGCGGGGTACTGGGGGCCGGCGTCCAGGAGCATCGTGGCTGCTCCGGGCGAGCCCCGGCCTCCCCCGCCCCCCCCACCCTCGCCTGCCGAGGAGGGAAAATCAGGAGGAGGAGGAGGAATGGGAGGTGGAGGAAAAGGAGGAAGAAGAAGAGGAGGGAGGAGGAGTCGACCCACCTCGCGAAGTCCTAGCCCGCAGGCAGCCGCTCCGCGCGCCGGGGAGCCCGCCTGGCCAAGCGCGGGGACGCCTGACGGCTGCGGGCCGCGAGCAAGGCGGGCTCCGGCGCCCGCCGAGCAGACCCCACCGGCCGGGCTCGCGCTTTCTCGCCGCTCAGTCTCTGCCGAGAGGACCTCGCGTCAAGGCTGCCCAGGGAAAGCCGTGGAGCATCTCAGCCCCCCCAGAAAAACTTCCTCCCGGATTTGTAGCATAGAGGAATGTGAGTGCAGGAACCGCAACTGCTCGCTCTCCGCCTCGCGCCGCACGCCCCTCCTCGATTCTCCACTAGCCCCTCGCCCTTGCTCTCTTTTCTCTCTGGATCGCCTCCTCGCTCCTTCACTCTCCCGTTTCCCCCTCTGCTTTTTGCAAAAATAATAATAACGATGATAATAATAACAATGAAAAGGGGGGAGCAAAAAAGAAAGAAAGAAAGAAAAAGCCAAAGAAAAGGCGCAAATCATGCACAATATTGTCTTTTGCGGTTTATCTTCCTGGGGAGAAACTTTCACCTCCTCAGCCGGGCGGTGAGCGCGAGACTGATAGCAGCAATCATTCCTGCAGATAAATGAATTGAAAGGACGACACCGTCCCCCCCCTTGATGAATGGGAGCAGGGGGAGGTGTCACGTGCTGCTGACGCGGGCGCCCATTGGTGCGTCCCCACTCCCCCCGCCGGCAGCCGCCGCACCAACTGAGGGCGCGCCGAGGCGCCGCGCTCCGTTCATTGGCCCGCCCGCCTCATCAATCCCAGGTATTGTAAAGCGCTTGACATCCCCTTTTGACAAACCCGGCTGCCAGGAGTAGCAACTTTTTTTTTTTTTTTTCCCCCAAAATTTTTCCTCCTCTTTTCTTTTTTTCTGCTACGATTCCTTTTCTTCTCGCAGTGATATACATTTTCTCTCCTTATCCCTCTTCCTCTCCCATTCTTTCTCTCTCTCCCCCTCCCTACCTCTGTCTCCCTCTCCGTCCATCTCTCTGTATCTTGTCCTTCAAACCTGCTCTTAGCTGAGCGATTAGCGACTTCGGATGTGTGGGAGAGCAGGAGGCGGGGATGGGACTGGTAAACACAGCTAAGGCACTTCCAGAATGTCCAGCTTCAGCAACTTTCTTTTCTTTCTTTCTCCATCTTCCCCTCTCCCTTCAAGAACAGCAAAGGAGTCTTTTGTTATTTTCTCCTTTTGAAGTTTGCTTTCCTCTTGCCCTGTCCCCCTCCTGTTTATAATTTAAGATCTCGAGAGCACACAGATACTCCACTCTGTCTTGACGACGACGAAGAAGAAGAAGAGGAAGAAGAAGAAGAAGAAGAAGAAGAAGAAGAAGAAGAAGAAGAAGAAGAAGAAGAAGAAGAAGAAGGAAGGAAATGTGATTTATCAGGATAACAGAGTGGCTCGATTTTCTTACTTTTATCAAATCCATCAGGTTTCCTGCGTCCCTCCTCCCCTCACCCCACCCTCAAATGAGCACAGGTGGATGAGAGGTTTTTACTTGCCAGGTTATTGAGATTTTTTTTATATATATAATGGCAAATTGGAAACACTGTTGCTGAGTTTTACTCCCCCCCCCCGTGTTATTCTCTTTTCTCCCTTTTTCCTAGTCTCCCTCGTCTGCCCCCGCTGACCCCCTCCTTTTGCACTCTTATTCCCAACCGGGGCCCCTTTCATTCAGGTAAAACTGTAAATTTCCCAAAGCGCCATTGTTCTTCAGAACTGTCCAAAGCTCCCTAGAAATCCCCGAATACTTTTTTTGGTATTTAAATCCCCGATCGATAGAACCAATGTAAATTTTGTGACATTCAAACCTTTCTGAGTTCACAAATCAGTCACCCTTGTCACAGTTATTGAAATTCCGCAACTCGCCACACCAGGACGGTGGAAAAAACGGGCGCGGTCTTTGTTGCCGACCAGGCTTTTGATCGCCAGAGAAAATTTACTTACCTTCAGATGAGTGAGCAGAAAAAGAAATAACACTCCCTTTGATTTAGTTAGGAAAATGCAGACATTTGGATTCAGTGCAAACATACAACACTCGCTTGTTTTCGCGATCCGGCCCTCGATTAACCTGTCTTTGCCCAGCGCAAAGTCTATTCAACAACTGCGCGTAGTTGCTTTTTGTCCTGTCCACAAAGAACCATTGACCATATATTAAAATGATTGTTGAAAGGTAGAAGAGTATGGCACTTAAAAGCAGGGGAAAAAAATCCCTGTGACTCAATCAATTAAGGCGAGTAACATTTATGCATTTCAAAAAATGCACACGGATGCGGGGGGTTGGGGGGGGATAAAGGTTGCATTTCTCCTCAGCTCTGTTTAAAACCGCGCGGTCCAGGCTGAGGGTTTAGCTCAAGCGTCTGCATATTCATTAGGTCTAATTATTTTCTAGTAAGGAAAACACAAAAAGCCAAGAGTCGGAATCTTTCAATTTGCCCTTTGTTTCTAACTTCATTTGGCTTATTTGCAGCTGAATCAGAGCCCTAAACTCTTTCTGCAGACAAAGAAACCTCAACGCATCCTTTCACCGGAGCCCAGTTAGGAAACTCACCAGCGCTTGGGAGACGGGGAAATGGAAATGAATTGGTTTTGCCCAGTCACCCGCCTTAGCAGCACAGGCCGGAGGAAGGCAGAGCCGCTCTGGCCGCTGCTCGCCTTTCTGCTTTTCTGGTCTTTTCATCAACCAGATTTTTTCCTGGGGTTGGCGAGCTGAGCTGCCCTCTCCCTGCGCCCTCCCAAAACTCGTCTTGTGTAACGAGGGTGGTTTCTCAGTGTCTGAAAAGACCTGGCTGAGCATTGGTGCTTGGGCTGGGAAATAGAAATTTGAGAGAGAAAGAAAAAATCAAACAGTATGTCTCCAGCAACAAGTCTGAGTGCAGCGGCCCAGTTTTCCACACCGACTTTGACTGGACCGGGATGGGGAATGGAAGGAAAGGTTGCGGCCAGAGGGGTGGTTAAAAAAAAAAAAAAAAAAAAAAAAAGGATACATTTGAGAGACTCCGATGTATCTTTTTTGAATAAAGTGTTTTCTACAGTCTGCAAGGGGAGATTGGATCCTGACTCCAGTGCAGTTGTAAAAACCTTTTCTACAAGTTTTCTCTAGAGTCTGTCTTGCAATCACCAGGGAGGACAAATAGTGAACCCACCTCTCCTGCCTTTCAAAAAACACAAGGGAGGGGACAGAGGAGGAAGGGTAGCCTTTGGGGGAGGGGGGAGCAAAAATAATTCTTCAAAAAAGAAAAGTCAGTCTTCTCCCTTCCAGTCCGTGGAAAATCCGTTGGGGACATTGACAAGAGAGTATTTTTAGGAAACGTGTCCAAATATACAGGGTGAGAGTGAATGTGCGGGGAGGGGATAAAAAAGTTGTGGGTTGTAGAAGTTATCAAGTGGGATTTGCGGCGCTCTCTGCAGGGAACGAAAGCGGCTCCAGTTCAAAAGCCACATGCACCAACGTGACATATAAGCCATTAAAATATCATCCTGACGGCTCATTTCTGCTTCATCATACATTCCCTAACTGCTTCCCGAAAGCTGGAAAAAGAGAAATGAAGGATGATCGCCTCGCTGGAACCACGAAGAGAGGCTTAGAGGGGTTTGTGGTCCCCCCTCAGCCACCCCAAAGTGATGTGCAGAAATGAGGCGATCCCAGCAACAGGTGGAGCGGGGTAAGTGCGTGAGTCCAGGGGCAGACGGGGGAGACCTGTTCCTCCAGCTGCTGGGTTCGCCAGCTCCCTTACCGGGACCACTGGCACCCAAACCCCACTGTGGGTAGAGGCCCATCTAGACTTTCTCCCTCAGTCCCCTCCTTCTCTAGCCCCCCAACTGTGGGTAATTGGCCCCACCCCACTGACACTGCAGGGAGGAGGGGGTCCTTCTGCCGAGGGGCAGTGATGGGGATGAGTCCACTCCTTCTCCCCAGGATAAGGAGGGGGATGTCAAGGGGACCGGCTGGAGCTCCAACTAGCAAAGGATCCAAGAGCTAGCATCTTGTTGCCCGCCCGCCCTCCCTACCTCGTCTCCTTGTAAATTGCATGGGTGCCCCACGTGGGCACAGGGAGGAGAATCGTGGCCCTGAACTTCCCTCGCGCGCGGAGCGAGCGGGATCCGCACCGGAAGGGGCCCCTGCAGCAGCGTCTCTGCTTTGCCCCCAGGAGGAAGGCAGGAGAGACCCGGCTGCCCCTCCCCAGGGTCCAAGGAGCCAAGTTAGCCTGGCTGGCAGCGAGATGACGGGACTCCTCCGCCCCAAGCGGACGGCGGAGGCTGGCTGGGTCAGCCGCGGGGCTGGCTCGCTGCCCTCGCGCGTCCCGGTTCTGCCTCAGGACGCTGACCGCTGAGATCCGCGCTCTGCGCGCCGCCTGCCGTGGGTTTGGGACTTGGCTTTCTCTCTCTCAGGTGCAAAGCAGGGCTAGGACTGGCTCTCCGGGGAGCAGGCCGCAGCCATCTAGGATTCTGGGCACTACCCTAGACACCTAGGGACACGAAATTAGGGGCAGGAGAGGTGGACCGGTGTCGGTCTGTGAAAGAAAGTAAGACTGCCTCAAAGGCTCGACCGACCGGAAAGCTGGAGGTTGATGGATGGTCCGTGGGGACAGCTGGGACCTGCGAGGTCTTAGGAATGGAGAAAGGGCGTTGGAAGGTTGTCACTTGGCTGGCACCATCTGCAGGAAACACCCTTTGGATTCCAAGGTCATATTTCTCCCCCCTTGGGGAGGAAATTTCCGACGGCTTTGGCGGCACAGCTACCCACGTGGAGGCATCAGCCTCCTTCCCTCCGTCCAGCCGCAGGCAGATTTGGGGGGTGGTTCAAAGGGATGGTTAAATATCCAGGCTGGTCCTTCACGAGACTCACTCATGCAAACTCTACTGTGGACACACGAAGTCGCCTAGACTTCATCCCCGGGCCGGGGAAACCCGAGCTCTTCCCTCTAGGGAACAGAAGAATGAGAACAGGCCGCCACACCACCCAGCCTCGCGGCCCACCTTCCTGGTATTCAAGAGCCCGGTGGAGGGGAGCCAGGGAGGTGCCTGGTGCAGCTGGCAGCAGCAGGCCTCCGGCGAAGGTGCGGAGGAGTTTGGGCTTTGGAGCTGGGAGGCAGTCACAGGTCCCCTGCTCTGCACCCGCGCGGGCTGGGCTGTGGCGGACAGCTAGCAAGCATGCCTTGTTTTCAGGAGAGCCTGCAGGTTACTCAGTGTGGAGCAGGGTTGAAAGCTTGGGGACTAGAGCCCCTAGCTGGGGAAGCAGGCTGCAGATGACCTCTGACCTCGCATAGGCCCTCGCAGGCTCGGGTGAACCTACAAAATGGTGCTCTCTGCCTCTACCCACCAGCCTACCTTCTTCGCTCTCCCTCAGCACGAATACTTTGCCAGGGCTTGCTGGCACCTCTTCTCAGGGTGTGGAAATGCAGAAAGATTTCAGTAAGTCTCCAGACTGTGCTCCCGAGTGGTGATTCAGTGGCGGGGGCCAGTGTGAGAAAGCGAGTGAGTGAGGAACAATCATTGGGGGTGTCTTGGGGGGGAATCAAATCTAGCATTTTCAGGGCTTTTAAATTCTTGGATTGGTGGGGTTCTCAGGTCCAGGGGCCTAGGGGCTGCCCCTAATTCTCTGACCGCTCCTTCGATGAGAGGACTAGCTTGCTACGTGGGGTCAGAGTTTGAACCGAAGAAGATATTTACCCTTGTTCCCTGAACTGGCTGGTGATGGAGTTACTACTGAGAGCAGCTTAAGGTCCCAGTGGCCTCTGGAGCCCAGCCTCTGCAGCAATTGTTTGCATGCCTGTGGGTTTGTAATGCATAAAGGACTACCAGGGCCTGGGAATAGACGGGACACAGGCCTCTCAAATGGAGGACTTGGGCAGCATTGCGGGTGGACAGTCCCCTAGGGAAATTCAGGACCATTTTCTTCAGAATCAAAAAAGTAAATTCTATTAGTTCCAACCAACCAGGACTTTTCTTATGCCAGATATCCCGCCATGAGGAAATTTTAGAGGAAAGATGCCCAGCATGCCATCCTCCTGTAGAAATGCAAAGTTGGGCCTGCTTTCTCTTCTGAATTGTGCGGGAAGGAGCCTATTACCTTGGGGATGGATTCCTTTTGGTTAGAAAGAATTGAAAATAAATAAAACCCTCTGGGAAACAGTGAGTTTACCCCCTCCCCACCTCTCAGGCTTGGACCTAGAAAAGAAGGGAGAGGGAAGGGAGAAAACACCCAAGCAAGTTCAGGTTCTGTCTGGGGATCACGGTTAGAGAGAAAGAGATCTTTGAACACAGAGAACTGGAAAGCCTTTGAGATAGCAGAGCCCCACTTGGATTTGGCCTGTGGTTCAACAAGTTAAACAACTGCTTGTTCTGTGGGCTGGAGTGTCAAGACGAGCAGACATCCTCATTGACAGAGGGCTTGTTGTGTTTGTCCAGCCTGAGACCTTTTCAATGACTGTTTGTCTTTCTAGGCCCAGTTGAGGGCTAGGGCTGGGTGGATCGCCTGTTTGGCTGCTCCACGGCCTGTCCTGGCCTGACAGATGCAGAGGTCCCCGGGGTGCGGTTCAGGCTTGAAGATGGCCAAAGATTTGCTGGCTCTATCTGCAAAGTGAATCTGATAAAGAATGCAAATCTCTTGTGGGGGGAAGGGAGCAGGTTGTTTCTGACTTTCTTAAATAAGAAAGGGGGCAGTCAGGATCAGATGATAGAAATGACACCTTCCTTCCCATAATCTGTGGAATTATATGTTAGATTTGAAAAATCAACCAGCTATGGCTTCCAAAGGGGCCCGGGGAAGAAGCCATGTGAGGGATTCCACCGAGCAGGACAGGATCTAGCAATCTGCAATAAAATGTCTCTCCTCCCAGCTTCCACAGTTACAGCTCCCGTTTTAATCTGCTAACTGCCCGGTCCTCCCCATCACATCTCACTAAACTCCATTAATACACTGAAAGAAAATAATGGTGGCTTCTCATACAATCAATTCCAATGCTCAAAGTTAGAGATGTTTGCACACTGACTGAAAGGGTGCTCCATTTCCCTTGCCTGGGAGAGCAAAAAGTGAGTTTGAGATAACATTCTTGTTGGGGACCGATGCTTTTAATATATATACTTTTTAACCATCGAGACTATATTATTTTTTAATAAACACGGGAATTTCCCAGCAGACTCCCCCCCCCACACACACACACACTGCCAAATTTGAAAATGGTCAAAGAAAGATTGAAAGACTTTTCAGATTAATACTTTTTCACTCACACATGCAGGCCACAAAATCTTGCCATACATGTATGAAAGTATTTAACTAGTGACTTTGTCTTTTTTCCCCCCGGAACAGGCTCAAAGTCAGAAAATGAGATTCAAGACCTCCTCGGCCATGAGGAGACGGTTGCGACTTTACCAAACTGCTCTGAAAGAGTCGAGTAAGTGAAAAATCCTCTTTTGAATATTGGTTTGCTAAATTTTTTTTTTTTTTTTTGGAAGTAGGAAGTTTTGTTTGGTCGTTTGCTTATGTTGGTTGTGAGTTTGGGGGGTGTTTCCTGAGTAAAATTTGGAGTAACACCTTGGTGTTTGATGTATTTGTACACAAGTCAGCGACTTAAAGTCCCACCAGCCGCTGACTAATCTCCCTCAATGCCTACTCATCTGGACGTTCTAGAATTAATATTTGACGACTCTCTCATTGAAACAACCACCCCTGACCTTCTGCAGTTCCACTGTCACATTATTCTATGACATATTCATCTTGAATTCATTTCCAGACGATTTGATTGGAATGAGGTTTGACATATATTGGCTTCCATGAAAGAAGCATACTTTGATCTTGGTGATGGGGTTTACATGATATGCATCATCTTTACCAGGGACACCAGCCTTCTGCAATGTGGTGGTGATGATGTTCCCACAATGTGGTGTCTGAACAGAGAGTGACTGACAGCCGCTCAGTCAGGAATACCTTCATTGTGAAGAATTTAATTTAATATTCCATTTAGAATAAGCATATGATTTAGGGTTGGGGGTTTCCCTTCCAGGCATCTAGCTTTCCTCATTTCAACTACACCAGCAGCTGACGGTTGCCTCCTAGGTGCTTCTTTGTTGGTAGGAAAAGCAACCTTCTTAACAAAAGTTAAATGACAACTCAGGAAATGGCTCTTTTCTATTCCTCTGGGGTGATTTGATGGCAGAAGTCTCCAGAGAGGTGTGGTTTTTATGTAAATTCCGTTGTTTCCGTTCTTCAGGGCGGTTCTGAAAGATCCTTTAGCCCTGTTGCTTAATCTTTTGTTGAAAGATGTTTTGCAGAACCATTGTTTGAAAAGTAAATTCTATCCAAGTATATTTTCTTTCATACTCAGTTCCATTAATGATGATTAAAGCACAAACTTGCATAGCAAAGGGGAGGAATGTCTGCAAAATCCTGATAGATCTCATCTCCTCTGTACAATTTGGGCCTGGATGGACGGTGGCCTCCTGGGGTTTAAGTTATTTAATTATTTTCCCATAAGAATAGAGACCACCTTTCACTGCAGGAAACCTCAAGTCTGTCTGTGAATAGCCTATGAAGAGATTTGTCCCTCGTTTGGGGTGGTAACCTGGTCAGAAACAAGGAAGAAAAGAGAAAACAAGTGACGGCAGATTTAGACACAGAACATCCAGGCAACAAGGGCTGTGCTTAACCAGGCTCTGTGCAGTGGCCCTCAGCTCATAGGATACTGCTTTGGGCATAACCTGCAACCGATAATCATCATTTAGCACTGCTAAAGAGAGCAAAATTGCAAGATAGCTCAGTCATAGATCTGAAATTTCTCTCATTTCTTTCCTTTCCAAGGGAGAGAGTTTCTGGCATGTCCCCATTCGAGACAATGACGTGAGCAGCCCTGGCAGATGGTAGAATCATCAAATGTCACATTTCTGTACAGCAGGACTAGAAAATCAGTTTAGTTTATGCTGTTGCATTGGTCTGGCTTGGACAAACAAGGGTACATAGGCCATGATTCTGGGCACTGGAGGAATGTTTAGTGTCTGTTGGTGAACCGTGCTCCCAACAGGCCCTCGTGAAAGCCCCCAGAGCCCCTCTGCGGAAAGATCTTGGGACTGCAGAACAGGTCTTCCTTTTCTCTTTCTTTCTGCAAATGAAGTAGAAACGTGGACTCAATAATGCTATACACCCCAGAATGGTTAGTAAAAGAATGTTCCAGCCAAGCATTTTGGTATTGGAAGTAAGAGTGGTGAATACATTCTAAAAAAAAAAAAAATTCTGATCACCACAGAGGAGGATACTACTCCTCAGCCTGCTCAACCAATAGTCAATGAAACCTGAACTCTTGGCTAGCTGGGCACTGGAAGACTCACAGGAATATCTCTAAAAAGCAAAATGTGTTTCCTTGACATTGGTACCCCAGCTGTCTTTTGCGGTAAGCTGGATACTGTTTTGGTGCTAATATCAGGGATAAGCCTTGAAGACCCTTATATAATTGCCCAAAGTTTCCTGTTTATAAACATTAGTGAGTGCAATGGATTTTTTTCTCTCTATCTCTGTCCCTGGGAAAATGTCCAAGCAGGAGAATGCTTGGTCCCATCGCTGTATTTAGCCACCAAGGTGTGAACCATGTGGCTGTGAGGAACTTTCAAAATCAGGCAGCCTTAGTGGCCTGCTGGTTGAGTGACCGCTGACCACTCAAGAAGCATGGACCCAGGAAGGGTCCAGATGTTTCCAGTGCTTCCAGAGAAGGCTGTGTATGGAGGGAGCTCCGCAGGGCTGGATAACTTTCGGTGAATTGGACTGAATTGGGTGTATCTGCTCTTTTGCTGTTGGCATAAAAAGCCATACACAGGTCCAAAGCCTTTCAAGATAGAGTTAGTAAGAGAGAGTGTGTAATGTACTAACACTTTCTGTTTATAAAACCTCCTCTTTTTCCCCCCGGAGTCCACAGAGTCAATGCTTAGAATTCAAGGAGTCTGCATATTTGGATGGGAAAAAAATCTTTATTTTCACCAACTTCTAATGGAAAGGTATAATTTTATTCTATTATGAGTGTGGGCAACAAACACAGTACTATTAAAATTAATTAGCTTCACCAGGGTTCCAAAAGGGTGCACAGCCTAAAACAATGTACATGCAATACTCTTGTTCTGTACAGTTATTCAAAGATTTTGATGCAGGTAAGGTCACAGTGTGCATATTAAGAGATCCATTTTTGTGCAAATCAGACTTTTAATGGAAGTCAAAGTGGATGGTGAGATTGACAAACATCCTGAACAGCAGGTTGTAGATGGCCTAGGTTCAGGTGGGGAAAAAACTCTTTTAATTGCTGAACTACTGCAAACATGCTCTGCACTGAGGTCTGAATGCTCCAGGGGGAGATGACTAAGCTCTGTGTTGAGGGATGCTTAGGAGAAATGGCAAGGGATCCCAGGTTGGAACAGACACATTTGGGCTTTTGGTTTTGGTCTTTGTTATTTTCTGAGCCCTGGGTTCCACCCAGACTCGCCTGGAAAGCTGAATCATCCAACCGACACCTGCACCATGGGGAGCCTTGAAACCATTCGAAGAGACTAGAAACACCTCAGATAGACACAGAGATCATTCTTGACCAGGCTTGGAGGAAAGGACACAGGATGGGAGACCAAAAAAGAGTTGTCTGTAGGCAGATGGGTAAATCCCAGAAAGGGAGCATTGGAGAGCATGAAAACCAAGAAAAGAGACACATCCTCAGATTCTAGTCTCAACACTACTGTGAAAGCCCTTGGTTTCCAGAGCAGACAATGTTGGGCTGGCAAATGTTCTCCTTCAACTTTTCATTTTTTGATGCTAATGCAGCATCTATTGGTAGTTGCTTAAGCTCTTCCGGCTGGAAGAGCAGAAAGACCTGCACTTGTCAAAGCCTGGAGAAATTGTTGTGGAAGTTAATCCCTCACTAAAATGCACCCTGAGCGGGAACAATGTAGTAGATGAAAAAGGTCTCATCAAAGAACCTGCCAACCATTATAAATAAGTCAATTATTTTTTAAATTGAAAAGAAATCCTTATTTTCTGACCAGGAAATGTATAAGAATAATCCTTGATGCTGCAAATGGGTGGGGCAGCTCAAAAACCCTGAGTCCAAGTTCACCGTAATCTGTCCAAACTTCTTACCTCTGCTAGTGGTAGGGGAATCTTTACTTAATTCTTAAAACTTCTTTGAAAGAACCATTTCTCAGCTTTGGGGTGCTTTCTACGACCACCAGGGAGGCCCAAGTACTTAGGTTGGCATTTTCAGCTAGAGACCAAGGCAGGGGTGGAGGCCAAGAGCCCTTTATTGCCAGGCGATGTAGCCGGCCCCTAGCGGGTCGGCACAAACAAAGGATACCCCAACCCCCCTTCTCTCGCTTTTGCCACACTCGACTGGGCCAGAACTGAAGGGTTTTTCCACCTCACGCCCCCCACCTCCACCTCAAGACGGTGGCACCCGAATCCCGGGAGGGCGTCTGCGAGAGGAGGCGGGGAACCCACAGTCCCTCTCACAGCCTGGGCCGGGTGAAGGGGCGTCTACTCTTTTCAGAATCCTGAAGGCAAGCGAGGAAGGAAGCAGGCTCTGGCCACGGGCAACAAGTGGTGGGAGCTGAGCGTGGAAGTGATTCCTACGTCCCTTTTCTCAGGCTCGGCCAGCAGGCAGGGTCTACGGGCTCAGGGCCTGCTTGCTGGCTCCCCCTTGTTTCTTTGTCCGGTGCGCCTTCGGGGAACTGTGCTTTATGGCTGGGAGGACTCTTAGTCCATCTCAGGAGGGCTGTGTGCGCTCGAAGCCAGCCTCTCTAGGTCACCTCCTCCTGTTAACTCCTGGCTCTGGTCAGGGCCGGATCCTTCGGTTCACGAGTCTGTGCGAGCGCCCGGCACCAGGAGGAGGCGCCTCCAAGGCTAAGTGGGAAGAAGGGAGAGGGGGAGGGGAGAAGAAAGGATGCAAGTTGGAAGGCGTGGTGTGGTCTGAGCTTCGGGAGAAACGTGTGTGTATGAGAGAGAGCGAGAGAGAGAATAATTTCGGAAACAATGGGAAAATGAAATGAGGCCCACGGGCGGCGGGCCTAGGCGTTCTCTTGCTCCGGGCCACCTAGTCTGCAGCCGCCTTTCGTCCCTGGATCGCCGCCCTCGCTCCCACCCAGCTCCTGGGACAAACCGCGGGAACCGTCCCCAAGCTCTGGGTACTGCCCCTCGGTCCCGGCGAGGCTAGGTGCACTAGGTCAGCCCCGAGGACTGGTGCAGGGCGACACCCGTCCCAAAGTCGCAGGGAACGGAGGCATCGCCGAGCCCCGCTCACTTCCTAGAGCAGATCCACCTGGCTTTCGGGAGATAACGGGAGGAGGCTCGGGGCAGAGAAAAGAATCCGTGCCCGGGTCAGAGCGCATGAGCAGTAGAAGTGGGAGATGATGGGGGGCGAGGCGGGAGGAGGAGCAGGAGCAGTTGTGTGTGTGTGTGTGTGTGTGTGTGTGTGTGTGTGTCCGCGTGCGGCAGACCTGTCATCGCTGACGTCGGACCCAGCGGCGGGCCAATGGGCGACCTAGGCGATTGTTCCTCTCCGCGGGCCCCTGCCGGGGCCCCGAATCTCTATTCACTTCCTCAAGCGCCCCGCTGCTGCCTCTGTAGTGTGCAGGTTTCAAGTAGGCTTTAAAGACCGACAGAAAGGAGGGGGAAAAAAGTCACAATCCAAAACTTAAAGGCGGGGGGGGGGGGGGGGGGACTTTGCAGAAGTTGTTTTGTGGCTCTTCCTTCCCCTCCACGCTGTCAGGTGACGGCGGCCTGAGCGGCCAGACCGAGGGAACTCTGGGGAGTCTGACCCGTGTGCGGCAGGCCGCCGACTCCCAGAGGACCCAGGCGCTAAAATTACTATATATGGCCAGGGAGCTTCAGCAACACCACCACCACCTACCACACCCCCACTCCCCCGCAGGCCACCGGGAGTTGGCCCCGGAAGCGAGTTTGCGGGGCAGGTCTGATCTCTCCGGAGCAGAGCCTAGGGGCTCCCAACCGCCCACAGACTCCGCACTGCGCGCCCCGCGGCCCCTTCCACTCGCCGCGCCGCCGCCGTCCCTCCCAGGCTCATGGGGCGGCAGGGGGCTCTACCCTACCGCCGCCCAGCCCAACCGCGGCGCAGGCACTCGGCCTCGTGCGGTCCGCTCGGTCTGCTGCAGCCGCCGTCCTGCTCCGGGTCTCGGCGCTGAAGGCGGAGGCCGTAGCGCGGCCGGGCTGGGTCTGTCCCCCAGGGCCAGGTGGAACGCGCAGCTCACTCCACACGTTCTTACCCTCGTTATTTGTCTTGACAACAGGTAGTAGTTCCGGACACCATGACCCCCAGCTCGCTGCCGCCTCCAGCCCCTCAGTGTTCCCTGGCCTCCACGAACAGTCTCCCGAGGCCTCGGCCAGTGGCACATTGAACGGACTCCTGCGTCTGGGGCTTCCCGGAGAAATGTACGCGCGGCCCGAACCTTTCGCCCCGGGACCCGTGGCCCGCAGCGACGCCCTCGCAGCTGCCGCGGCCCTTCATGGCTACGGGGGCATGAACCTGACCGTGAACCTCGCCGCACCGCACGGCCCTGGCGCCTTCTTCCGCTACATGCGCCAACCCATCAAACAGGAGCTCATCTGCAAGTGGCTGGCCGCCGACGGCCCCGCACCCCCGCGCCTCTGCTCCAAAACTTTCAGCACCATGCACGAGCTGGTTACGCATGTCACTGTGGAGCACGTCGGCGGCCCGGAGCAGGCCAACCACATCTGCTTCTGGGAGGAGTGTCCGCGCCAGGGCAAGCCCTTTAAAGCCAAATACAAACTTGTAAATCACATCCGCGTGCATACGGGCGAGAAGCCCTTCCCCTGTCCTTTCCCGGGGTGTGGGAAGGTCTTTGCTAGATCAGAAAATCTCAAAATACACAAAAGAACTCACACAGGTCAGTATTCGGCACTATCTCATGCAGACCCTGGGGAAGCAGGAGGCCTCTTCTGGCCCTCGGGCTGAATTTCAAGTTCCATCTGGGGAGAAGGGGGATATTTGGTGTTTCCATGAGACAAGTCCATAAAATATAATTATTCCCTTCTCTTAGAATCACAGAAGTGCCTGAGGCTGAGTATGGGGAGGAAAATAGGGGGTTTCTTCTTTGGGTGGCTAAAGTGAACGTGTTTGGGTCTCTGAGGGTGCATATGGGTGTTCCCTGCTCACTGAGTTTGACTTTAAGGTATTTAAAATATCAGTTTCTCAAAGTCTTAAAAACATAGGAACAATTCAATTTTTCCTGGTTGCTTTGGAGAGCACCCCTCCAGCCTATCAACCTGACACCACCTGAATTGAGGGGTCATCAGGCCCTTGGTGCCTTCTTTAGGATTTGGGGTCTCTGGGCTAACTGTAGCCCTGTTTTGGAGCCTTGATGACTGGACACTTGGGGCGTTTGACAAATCCTCCCTTCTGCTTTAGCAGAGATCCAAGGAGACTCATCCACCTTAAATGTCATTTACCGAGCTGTTAAGTGAAATGGGGACATGTGTCAACCACATCTGTTAGATCTAGTAAACAGTAAGAAAGGGATCCAGGGCAAGAGCCTGCAAAGTTGAACTTCCCTGGCCAGAAGCATCTCTAATTAATGCAATTGCAAGGAGAAAGTTTTCACACTTACCAGAAGAGCGTGTGAAGTTACATTAATTAGTTTAGCAGTCATGTTTGTACTCTACTTAGCTAGGGTTTTCTCGCCCCCTCCCCAAGTTTAAGAAGTCAACATCTCCTCTCCTTTGTGTGTTTTTTGTTGTTGTGGTGGTGGTGGTTTTTTGTTGTTGTTTTTGGCAGTGGTGGGGAGAACCAGACCAGTGGCTAGACCAGGGTATAAAACAAGTTCCACCTTGGTGCCCCATTTCTCCTCCTCACCGGTGCTCTGCTTTACTCATCTCTATTATTGGCGGAAACATGGGCAATAATTAGAGTCAAAGAACTCTCCCAGGCTAGCAGCGCCCTGGAAAGAAGTTTGCTCGATCCCGCCTTCTCCCACAAACCCTGCAATCTTGGGGTCTTTGGTCAGGACACTGGCACACGCGGAGGCCAGACCGAAGTCCACTTTTAGTCTCTCACTTTATTTCCGGAGCATGTCTGGAAACGTATGGTTTCTTGGAGCTGCTTCAAGGTTGCCTCCCCCCCCCCCCCCGCCCCAGTTTCATTCCGGGGTGAAGCGTAAAGAGGTGAGGACTCAGCACTGCCCACAGGCTGGTTGCTGCAGCAGCCAGCGGCCTCGCACCGCGAAGGGAGACTCGCAGTCCTGAGCCAGCGCAGGGACTCATTTTTAATGACAGGGGAGTTCTAAACAAACAAACTTTTACTGCTCTTTGCTGGCCTACTGTTTGAGGGCCGTGAAGCAGAAAATGGTTAAATTCTTAGTGCAATCGACCTACAGCAGAGAAGCAAGTTCAGTGCGCCCGGGCTGGCTCAGGTTTACTTCTATTCAGGGCCGTTCTTAGTGCGTCTTTTCCGCTGGCATCCTGACTCATTATCGCTGGAGTTTAAAACAAGAACAAATCAGCAGAGCCTCGTCTGGCCTGCTCCGGCGTTTCTCTCAAACCCCCCTCCGAAGTAATGAAAAGAGGGGGGAAAAAAAAACAACAAAATGTTTCTCAAATGGCAATAGACCTCACTACAAATTATTCATGAAGACGGTTCAACAGGAAAATAATTGCCTTTTCAAATATTAATGGCGTTTCATTTCCTCGCATCACGGAAGCAGAGGATAGGAGCTGATGATTTCTCGGGAGTTAACATTCGAGCGGATCTGAATTCCGGGCCTGGTTTCGGAGGCTGCTGCCCCAAGCGCACGCCGAGAGGTTTCGCTTTGTGGCGGTCACAGCAGGCCCGGAACAAAGGTGCGGCCGCGAGGGATACGCCGGCCCCCGCGCGCTCCGGCCTGTCCCCGCCGCCAGGCGCCCTTCCCCGGACTCTGTGCCGCCGACGCGCCCCACTTCCCAGGCAGTGTGTAGTGACAGGCAGGGCTGGGGGTCTGAGGGAGAGGAGAGACTCCGGGCCGAGGCGCTGGGACAACTCGGATCAGCCACAAGTGCCAGAAAATGGCGTAGCGAACTGCCCCACCGCTGCCAAACTTTGTCGCGCGGGCCTGGCGCGGGCTGGGGTACGGGTCTCTCTCGGTAGTCGAGCTTCTGGGAGGAGACTCGGGTCTTTCACGACAGCCCCGGGACCCGCTGCTCGGGGAGGGCTGCGGGCCTGGGACCAGCCCTGCTCTCCACCTCCACCCATCCAGGGCTCAGAGCCCAGACCGGTGGGAGGGAGCGGGCGGAGGCATTGTGTTGGGGGTGGGGTGGGGGGTGTTAGACTGGAGACCCGGGCGCTTCCTGCAACTGGGGAGAGGCTTTGGGGGCTCGGGGGCGCGGCCTCGCTTGGCCTCCCAGGAGCCTCGGAACTTCCAGGCGGCTCGTTTCACTTAAGTGCCCTGCTTTTTCCGCCTCTGCTCCACGTCTGGGACGAAATCATTGTTTCTGTTTTACGTGAACGTCGAACGAGGCGCTCACAAAATGGGATAAGTGTGTGGGGAAGATGGGGGGTGGGGAGGGCGGCGATGGGGCAATCAATCTTAAATTCCGTTCGTCCTCTGTTTTCTCAGCAAATCTTGTTTCCTTTTGCAGGTCCTGAATTGCATGGTTCTTGTAAGAGATTTTGGAGAGGAGAAAAAGAAGGAAGGGAGGGAGGAAGAAAAGTTTTAGTTTGGCAGATACTAACAGGGATTAAGGGGAGAAAAACGAGAGGCAAATAGGGACACTGATTTATTTTGCTTACTCCTTTATATATTTATTTTTATAAAACGGTACCGGTGTCCCGAGAAATGGCAGATTCCAGCCCCGTTCAGTGATCCACTGCACCAGCACAAGTCCTGCAGGGGGAGGGCGCACCGGCCGGGCGGGGACGGAGCCCTGGGTTCACAAACCTCTGCGGCGCGGAGGCGAGGGTTGTGCGCAAACCTCTGGCTCAGCCTGAGCCTGGGTAGGGCTCGGGAACAGGGGCTTTGTTTAAACCTGCCCCCAACGCGCCCGTCTCTCGAGGAAGCGACCACAAAGGCAACGGTCCTCCAGCGGTGCAGCTCTTTCTTCTCAGCCAGAGCTTGGTAGCGGTTCCCTCAACCCAGGGTTCCCGGCGGCATCCAATTGTTTGAAGCGCTTAGACACTTCCTCCCCTCCTTCCCGCGGCATCTGCAGCTCTGCAGGAACCTGGGCTTCCGGGCTCTCGAGTTCTTTCCTCCCCACACGCCAGCGAGCCGAGCCGGCGGTGAGCTCCGGGATTGAGCTCGCTCCTCCGCCGGCATTTCCACCCTAATTCGCGCTCGCGCCTTCCCGTGGCTCTACAGTGCGTCGCACCAGGGAGCCAGCCGAGTCCCTTGCGGGTCTATCCCTGCTGACCCGTGACCCTCGGTCCGCCGGGACGGACCTGGCGTGACCGCAGCAGCTGTGCTCATACCCGAGCCTCCACGCTCAGGGGTGCGATTGCGTGATAGGCCGCGGATCCCTCGTGGCCCGGGCGGCACCGGCCTCTCGGCTCAGGCCTGCGAGGCCCGACTCCGGGGCGCGGAGGTCTGGGGAGGCCAGCCGACCTCTCGGGCGGTGGGGGCTGGAAGAGCCGACGCCAGCGGCAGCGTCTCCCGGAGACCGCTGGAGCAGCGTCATAAAATAGTGCTGGCGGTGCGCGTAGGTAGCGGGATCCCGGACGGTTAAGGCAAGATTTGAAGAATGCTGTTAAATGTTTGCCCTCAGGGGGTCGAAGGGAAGGGGGAGGGGACCCCATTTCCTGTAAAAATCGCCTCTGAAGTGAATCATTGCTCAGAATACCTTTCCCTACGGCACAAATCCACTTTATGCACATGTCGTGTGCATCGGCGGCACATTCTTCAATGATCCCATTGGCGTTTACACAAAACCTACTTTAGGAAGCAGTTTGGGCCAGGATGGGGTGTGCGCGGGGTGGGTCTCTGGGCGGGGAACAGAGACGTTTGGCTGGAACGGTGACCGTAAATTGAGCACAGGAGACCTCCTCGGTCAACTCTGTTCTCCGGGCAGAGGAGTTCTGGCTCCCAGTGCAGAAAAATTGGAGGAAAACAATCGGGGTAGATGAGGATTTTCCAGGATGGAAACTCAACTAAGATGGAGTCTTTGTCGCTCCTCCTCCGTACCCTCCCCCAGGCCCGGGCAGGAGAGGGGGAGGGGTGGAGGTCTGCGGGAGCCAGATCAGAGGGCGCGCTCCCAGCCGAGAAGGGGTCGCTGGGCCTGAGGGGCCCGAACACAAAGGTTTCAGAAAATCTTTACTGATTCTTTTCTAAATAATGGAAGAGAAATTGGGGTCGGTTGGGGAGGCCGAGCCGGGCCCCGGCTCACACGCACTAATGTCTCTGCATTGCCTCCACCAGGGGAGAAGCCCTTCAGGTGCGAGTTCGAGGGCTGCGAGCGGCGCTTCGCCAACAGCAGCGACCGCAAGAAACACTCGCACGTGCACACCAGCGACAAGCCATACACGTGCAAAGTGCGCGGCTGCGACAAGTGCTACACGCACCCCAGCTCGCTGCGCAAGCACATGAAGGTGCACGGACGCTCCCCGCCGCCTCTTAGCTCTGGCTACGACTCGGCCACTCCGTCCGCCCTGGTGTCGCCTTCATCGGACTTCGGCCGCGAGCCCCCGGCGGCCTCCTCGGCGGCGGTGGCGGCGCATGGCGCCGAACTGCGAGAATGGTACGTGTGTCAAGGCGCTGGCCGGGTGGCGCCTGCCCCCGCCACGCCAAGGCCCGCGCCAGCACCTGGCCCTGCCGCCGCCGCCGCCGCCGCGGGCCTTAGGGCTGCTGCCGCCTCGGGCCTTAGGGCTGCTGCCGCGGCTGCTGCTCTGCGCGCAGACTGCTAGTCTAGGCCCGGTCCTTGAGGCTTGACGAGAAGGTGAGGAAGGAGGGAGGAAGGAAACGAGGAAGGAAGAGAGGTCACTGGTAACAGTTGTTAGAGCTCATTGAATGCTGACAAAACGTCCATTATTTAAAGATGTAAATATGGTACTCATTTATTCTCCAGCCCCCGCCCCCTCCCCCCCACACACATCCACGCAGACACCGTCTTGATTGGGGAGCATGAAACCAGTTTTAGGGTAAAGAAGACAGATAAACAGATGGGCAGAAGGTTGCAATCCCGGCCACTTCAGGTGGCAAGACTGAGACCTCGCGAGGTTAAGGGAATGGGAACTGTTTCCTCCAGGACTGGGCCGCTGGGATCGCCCCGCCCCGCTCCTTTCTCGGCTCCCAGCTGGAGCCTGGCGGGAAGTTCGGATCACTTAGATTTTACCTCCTAGTTCCTTCCTCTTTTGCTTCCTTACGATTCCCCATCACTCAGCTGTCCTTTGAAACAAAAATACACAAGTTCCAGATTCCAAAATTTTCAAGCACTTCTATCATGGAGATAAGAGGGTTTCAGAACCACCCCTGGGGATCACATGCCCCTCCCCCATGGACTGACCAAGCACACAGATACATCTGTCTGCTTCATATATACATTATATACTTGGGGTAAAGGGTGAGTCCAAACAACAAGAAATTCAAACAAAAGAGTGCTAGAGAGGCTTTGGGATTCAATGATCTGAGGACTCCCCAGATCAATCAGCCTCTCCCCACCTCCACCCTCGTGGAGTCTGCGCTTGTGAAATCTTGTGGCTGCTGGGAGCTAGGAGTGCAGCGAGCCAATGACGTCACTGAGCCAAGGTCTGCACTGCAAAGGGATCCGTGTCTGGATAAATCGAGTCAATTCTGCAACGGTCTGTTAAAATCGCACAATGGTGTTCTTCTTCTTCTTATTTTTTTTAAGGTGAAGAAGGGCACAAGAAATGAACTATAACAACAAATGTTTTAAATCCAAATGGATTTAGGCTGAATGTGTATTTTTATTTATTTTGAGAGAGAGAGAGAGTGAGAGAGAGAAATATCGATTTGTTGTTCCACTTCTTTATGCATTTATTGGTTGGCTCTTGTATGTGCCCTGACTGGGGATGGAACCCGAAATCTTGATGTATCAGGATGATGCTCCAACCAACTGAGCTATCCGACCAGGACTAAAGGTGAATTTCATGTGCTGGGTACTAAGTCCCCAGAAAGAGAGCCAATGTTGGTGAGAGGGGAGACGAAAGCTTTTGCAACTGCTGATAAGGGGAAAAAATTGGGGCCTATTTTCCAGTCTGCCACCCTTGGGATGAATGGGCCTTCCCAGAAATCCTTGTTGAGATTTGGAGGGAAAAAGGAAAGAAAAAGAAGGGGGGACATATTTTGCAGACCCATTCCCACCCCCTAATACTTTGGAGATAAGTTTGGTTATGGTATTTCCACCTAGGGGGAGCCTCTAAGGAGCTCAGTTTTAAAAATTGAGCCCGGCAAACAAGTCCTGGCCCTGCCACTCGGCCCCATCTTCCTCCGGTCTCTCCCCTTCAGACACTTTGGACGGTTATCACTCCTGCCCAGCCGCCCCACAGTTTCATCAGATAAATAATGTCCTGACTGGAGTGGGACTCTTTTTATTACCCCTAATAAAAAAACAAAATCTTCCCAACACAGCCTAGTGAGTCCCTCCTTGTGGAAGGGGGACTACATTCCCCTCTTTCCCCAGCTACAATAGGGCCCAGAGGCTGCCTGGCCAAGGGTCGGCATGGCAGCAAACCTTGTTCCCCTCCGGAAACACCCACCCCGTGGCGGCCAAAGTGCAAAGGGCATCTGGGGAATTTGCATCTTCTGACGACGTTTAAATTTTTTCCCATCCCCAAATTGGACTCGTTTCTTTCTTCTCTATTGCTAGACCCATTTTTGCCTTCCACCCCCATTCAAAATAATAAAATAAAATAACAATGTTTGGACGGCCTCTAATCGCCTTTAATTTTTCATTTGCTTGTTACAGATGTCCACCGCGTTGCTCCTAAGGTAATCTCGCCCCGCGCAGCTGAGAGCCCGCATCTCGAGCCTGCGACATCAAAGGGCCCGCGCACAAAGCAATGTTTCTTGGCCACGGTGCATCTTCATGGTAAGTTAGGATTTCTATGGCAATGGGCAAGTCGCACTAAAATCCTGAAAGGCCTAGCCTGGAGCCCGTCCAGGCTTTTCATTAAGGACATAATATTTACGTCTAACAGGCCTTTTTTCTTGTGTATACAAGTATATATTTTTGTTTGACGCGGACTAAATCATTTTCATTTAATTTCCGGTAAACAAAACCCACGCGAATGGGCACTTGTTCCCGATCATAATAAAAATGGATAATAATGTGAGGGAAGAAAAAGGCCGCTTGAATCGCCGCTCAGCCCCCTTTGTTTCTGCTTTCTGCGGTGATCAGAGGGCGCATTTGGGTTTGATGGCGAGTTTCTAAAGGCGAGGAAATGGTTTGTAAGAGGGGAAAGAAAAGGAGAAAGGTCTAATCAAGCTCGGGTTGTTCAAAGAGTTGGGTTTTGGGGTTGAAAGTGTGAGTTTGACGGTGCATCAGCATGCCGCGTTGGGCTCGCCATGGAAATGCACGCGGGGAGCGGCCCCTTCAAAGGCGGCACACTTCACTACAGACACTGTATGAAGACACATTTGCGCTGACCTTTGCTTTCACGCCATTTAATACTGTCACTGCGTTCTCCAGTCTGTACTTCCCCCTTAGGACCTGCCTCGCTGACGTTTAGGGGTTCACCCTGCATTCTTTGGCGCCAGGGACACTTTCAGGAAAGGGAGGAGCCGGTCTCCGAACATCTTGGCTGTGCCTCAAAGAGGCTCCAAGGTCAGGAGTAAATAACTTTAAGGCAACCTCAGAAGCTAAACAAATGAGCATCCCAAGCTCAGTTTTGTGCAGAGCATCTCTCTGCCTCTTGAGCAAGGTGGATGCCTGCATCCGAATGGAACGTGCAGGGCAGGGAAGACACCCTGGATGAGTCTGGGAAGTTCATACAGTGACTTTCAGTCATTTCCACTTTGGCCCCCAGCACAGCCCATTTTGCTCCTCTGCCCCAGAAGTCTCTTGCAGCCCCCCACCCCCAAACTCGTTTCTCCCTAGAGTGCTGTGTATAGTACTCCTCTGGCCTGGGCTGGCCCTGGGCAGGAGCTCCAGAGTGCAAGGCCAAGGGGACAGGGAAGATGGCAGGAAAGTTAGAAGTCCATGTTCCCTTAATTGTCATGTTGTTTATTTTATCCAAGTACCCCGGAGAATAGGGGAAAAATAAACATGGTGGAAAAAAATCAAACAGTGGAGTCTTCTTTAGTGCCAATCCTTGTGGTTGAATAAAAAGGATGGTCCGCTTTCTATTGAGCTGAGAAATCTTTGAAGTGGGAGTTATTATCTGAGACATTCCTGCTTGTCGTCCTAACAACGCTGATGAAACGTAAAAGGTTCTTTGTCAGCGATTTGTTCTCCTCTCTGTCAAACTCCCTCTGCCCTGTTAGTTTCAAACCGTTTCTAAAGAGATAAAAATCAGACTTCTTTAAAAAAGAAAAGACATGCACACTAACTGGTAACTTTAGGGCCAAGTCCTGCTTAGGGGGAAACAAAAGCAATGCAGAGACATCAGGTCCAAGGCCTGTGGAGGTGTGCAGATGTTGAGGGCCCTTTGCATAGGCTCTGACACATGCACGTAAGCTTCTCTGTGCTCTGGCTTGCACGCAATCAGTCCAAGTCAGGTCACCTGAGCCTCCTCCGAGGCCCCCTCAAGCTTCCAATATTCTTGCCCAGGATCCTTGGAACCTAAGACTGCAGTCAAGTTATTGTTAATGTTTCCTGCTTCTTCAAAGACAATCTCTGCTAAAAAATGACCCATTGTGGGTTTCTTCCCACTAGCAGCAATCAGCAATCCTTTCCCACCATGAATAGAAAGGAGAGTGGTTTGAGGGAGAGAGACGTTTTTATAATTTCTTGTTTCCTTCAGAATCTTGGCAATGGGAGTTCAGAAGATTCAGTTTACAAAATAGTGAACGCAGAGTGCAGAGTGCATGCCAGTGCCCCTGCTCCCATCACACATGCAGTTCTTCATGTTACATTGTGCCCAGGAAAACACTTTCACCCTATCGAGAGTTTCCTAAACCTCCTTCATGTGGTTTTCAAGGTGGTTTAAATAAACACGAATGTTCTGGTCTCTCCACTCCGTGTGTGTGCTGACTAAATGATTTGTGAAGAAGTTTCCCCAAGCTGTAACCCATGCTGTCATGATAGTTGCAACAAAATGTTGTCTCTTATATTGACTTTTAGTTGCTTACTTGAGGTCCCCATATGTTTATTTATATTGCTAATTTATGGGAAAATGTAATGATTACAATAAATGTGAATTATACAGACAGGCAAATGTTTTGTAATGATAACTCACACACACACACACACACACACACACACACACACACCTGACTGAAACCTTAGACTATTTAGTACCCTCTCTACCCGCACTGTTTGTGATTTATCATCTGTCCCCTTAGCATCCTAAATTATGAACTAACTTGAAATTAAAAAGTTGTTATATAGTATTTGACTGAAAGTGATTGTTAAATGAAAACACAGTTGAAAGAGGTCGCTTAATCTTGCTGTAAATATGTAAAACTGAATTCAAATGTGTGGTTGTTTTTCCCTCCAAAGACCTTTGAGGACCTGGAGCTCCATTTTGTATTTTCTTTGGAAATAAAGGATGTGATGTTTTCCTTCCTCGTTTGAATCTGAGTGTCTCGTCATTGCTTCCTCTCCCTGGGGTATGGGGGGCTCTCCCACCGCCTCCAGTCCCCTTCCCTGCCTTTCTCATGGCTTTCCTGGGAATATCTCTGAAGCCTAGTCGTTCAGGGTAGAGAAACGGAGGGACCCATCAAAGTTGCCACCTGGAGGAGACCTCCCTCACCCCCAATTTCACCCCAGTGGCATTGACACTCATCAGCTGATTTTCATTGCGGAAGAAGAAAAGGTGAAATGTTCTCAATGTCTTCTGGGAAAGACTATCCCTGGGCCTCACAGGCCGCACCCTCTCACCAACCCCTTCTGCCTTTTCTAGGGAAGTCTAGCAGTTGGCGGGAATCAAACCAGGGAAAGAAAATCACAGGGCAGGCCGGCTCCAGTCCCTGCCTAGGCTTGACGGGATACATGAGGCAGGAGAGGCTGCAGGATCCCAGCTGGTCCCACTCCCTCCCGGAGGACTGGAAGGACCAAGCCTCAGACCGCGTGGCTACAACCCTCACAACTTTCCTGGGCCCCGAGTGGAATTTTTAGTGGGGTTCGGTATCCGATGCAGGGGCCTTTTCTCTGGCCCTGCCACTGGCAATAATTTCAGATTTTTTAGGACCACAGGGTCACTAGAGCTTTCTCCCACCTCCCCGGCAGCCAGGGAGCCTCTAGGTCCCCGGGTCCCCTAGTCCCCGCTTTCACTGCCGGGCCCGTGTTCACTAGTGGGAAGTAGATCCCCGCGGGCCTGGCTGGCGTCGGGGCAGCACTGAACGGAAGGACGACCGCTTTGGGGGTCGGAATGTAGGTCCCTTTATGGAAAACCTTGGAGACCCGGTTCCCAGCGCAAGGGTTGCAGTGCTGAAGACAAGGTTGGGGCAGGGACCTCAGCGCGCCAAGGCGGAAAGGCGACACACGCGCGGGTGGGAACTGAAGGGCCACACGGGGAGGCCCCTGGAACCGCCGCCCGGGCCACCTGAGTCTGCGGGAGCCACGGGGAGGAGGTCACTGGACGGCGGTGCTGGGTGAACGCCCCCTCTGGGCTCTCTCGCAGAAGGAACCCCCTCCTCGTGCTCCAGTACAAGTTGGGGGGAGTGTCCCCCGTGGTGCGTGTGTCCCCCCCACCCCCGGCCTCTGCGAGAGCGCGTTCCTTAAGGCCCTTTCACCGACGAACTCGGCGTGGTGAGGAACAAGTGGGCTGAGGAAGAAACCAGGGCATCCCCTGCCCGAGCTCTTCTGACCCCGGCCCCCTGCTGCCCGGCCCGGCTACCTCGAGTCCACGGGGTCGGGCACGAGAGATCCCAGTCCCTCCACCTGCCCCTCCAGGCCGCCGGGACCGCGCCGCGCCGCCCGGCAAGGGCGAGGGGTGGAAAGCCAGTCTGCGAGGGGCGGCTGGCCCTGGCATCCCGGCCCGTCTCGGAGAGAGAAAGGCCCGCCTTTGACCCTTAGTCAGAGTTGGGGCGGAGGAGTCAAAGGATCAGAGGGAGAGAGAACGAGAAGTGCCCGGAACACCTCAGCGCCCTGCCACTTGGGGACCTCAGCGCCTTGCCACTTGGGGACCTCAGCGCCCTGCCTCTTGGGGACCTCAGCGCCCTGCCACTTGGGGACCTCAGCGCCCCTGCCACTTGGGGACCTCAGCGCCCTGCCTCTTGGGGACCTCAGGGCCCTGCCACTTGGGGACCTCAGCGCCCTGCCTCTTGGGGACCTCAGCGCCCTGCCTCTTGGGGACCTCAGGGCCCTGCCACTTGGGGACCTCAGCGCCCTGCCTCTTGGGGACCTCAGCGCCCTGCCTCTTGGGGACCTCAGCGCCCCTGCCACTTGGAGAGCTCGTACTTTTTGGCAGAGGTTTGAATTCACTGGTTCTCAAGTGCCCATGGCTAGTCTCACCTTAAAGAAAAACGCCCTGTCCTCTGGGGAAGTTACACGCCTCCCATCCCGCAGGGCAGGGCCGAGGGCAGCTGGGGGAAATCTTAGACAGCTGACGAGTTCTCCTGGGCCTCCCCCCTTCCCTCCTTGAACAAAAGCACGAGGGTACCCCGCGGGAGCGGTGGGAAGACTTTGCCTAGAGGCCGGTCTCAGGCTTAGCTACCTATGGCTCTGTGCTCCCATAAGTGATGAAACATGCCCGTGGTTATGTCCTCATCTACTAATATAAAATCTCAGAGTTGGTTTTCAGCGTTCAATAAGATCATCTTTGAAATATTTAGGATCTACATGTTAAGCGCTTGTTGTTATTATTATTTGCCTGACTCCGTCTTTGAGACACACCCCCTAGCATCTTCCTGAATTAGATCTCCAGAACCTCCTAGAAAATGTGGCATTGCCAGCATCCCCAGGCTCTGGAGCAGGATGTGCTTCCCGGGAGCCCAAAGGCTAGCTGAGGGTCCTGAAGCCACGTGAGTTTGTGCTCAGAGTTTCAGAGCCCTCTGCTGCAGGTCACTGAGGCAGAGACCAGCATTTTTCTTGTCTGAATGCTCTGATACTGCATGCTCATTCTGGGAAAATTAATGACATCTTTGTGGGGCCCAGGATCCCACAAAAGCATGTTCCACTTGTCACCTACTTGCTGTCTGGGTATCAGGGTGGCTTTTCTATCCCCCCACCCCCGCCCCAAATACATTCAATGAGGAAAATCCCTGAGAGTTTTCTAAGAACTTTATCAAGTTCAAACCCCAAAACCATTCAAGAGAAAGAAACTCAAAGGACAATTTGGGGAGGTTTGGGGCCTTGCCTCTGAGTCTTCCAGTGGCTTTGCACACATCCAAAACAGCTGGATAGAAAAAACTCCAGAAGAAAAAAAGTTACAAGAGGATGCCAGTTAAGCAATGTAAATATGACCAGGGAGGAGGACTTGTGATGCATTTTTGGCTTCCTTAGAGCCAGTGTAGCCTCTGTATGAGCCAACAAGCAGGACAAACATATTGATTCATACAAAACTAGTACAACAGGGATGCACATGGTTTTGTACCTCAGTGAATCGGCAGCCTTGGGAAATGTCTGCAGAGAAAAGAAACCAAAATCGGGTCAATTTCTGTGGTTTTGGTTGGACCTTGAATTTGTAGAATAGTGGCATAAAGAGGGTGAAAAAAAAAAAAAACAACAAGAATATTATCAGATGATTTATACAGTATATCAGAAGGATGATTCAGTTTTTTCTTGTCTGTGACTGACAAGGTCAAATTATCCAGATGAGGATAGTATTCTTTGCCAGAACTGGGAAGAAACTGCAGACAGCTCAAGGTTCTTGGCTTGGGCCGCTGCAGAGTCTCAAGGTGTAATGAGGCCTCTAGGTTTTGTACGCATCAATGTATTCATTAAGTGTTTTAAAAAACACACCCAGCTTCTTACTGAAAAATGTTTTGCCTGAAATGTGCATATTTCTAAGTTATGCAAAATAAGCATCTGTCCCCCAAAGCTTTTCTTATTTTTCTCTGAGAGAAATGAGGGGAGTTGCCCGATGTATGATGCACATAAACAATTCTGAATCATACTACCCACTTTCACCTGAGAAATTTTGTGTTTCAAACATACCATAAACATTTCCCCTACATTTTTTCAATTTC